ACCCCGGTCCAAAGGTCAGAGCCCGAAGCCTCCCTCAGCAACGGCCCCCAGCCCCGTCCCCGCCGCCCTCGCCCGTCCCCGGACTCCTCTCGGCTCAGCCCAAAACTTTTCACCACTTACCAAACCCGTCGCCATTTCTAGATTCCCCCTCCGTTCTCCCCCTCTCTGAAGCCCCGCCCGCTCGCCTGGATTCGTCCTCCTTGGGCATGTCCCATTGCTATTGGCCATCTGACCTGCCCATCAGGATTCTATTGCGAAGGGCGGACATGTTTTGACTATCCTGCGCGAACGATTACATAGAGTGGCATGTCAATCACTGTGAAGTCGCGTCCCGATTGGCTAATGGCGAAGTCCCTGCGCTCAGGCTGCATTCTGGGAAGAGTAGTTTCTTTTTACACCGTGGGCGAGTGAACAGGGAGCAGCTGGACAGCAAGACCCAGAATGCGCTGCGAAGCGCCCGACTGATAGTAAACAAGAGTCATAGGGACACGTGTATCTGCCCCTCTGGCTAACTTTACACAGGAGACTTAGCACAAGAGGCCAAGCTGAAGGGGAGATGATGCTAAACCGGGGGTCCCCAAACTTTCAGATGCTGGGACCACATCAGCATTCTTACTATTATGGTGGCCCAGAGCAGATCAATTTGTGCATAACTCTAAAGGTGTAAGAGACTATTCCTACCCTGAAGAGTTTACAATTAAACAAGACTGTATCAAGAGCAGGTTAATAGTAATAGAGATGTAGCCCTGTTAGTCTTGTCTTGCTGAAACAAAAGACAGGACTATGCAGCACTTTAAAGACTAACAAGATGGTTTATTAGGTGATGAGCTTTTGTGGGCCAGACCCACTTCCTCAGATCAAATTGTGGAAGAAAATTGGCGTGACCATATATACCAAAGGGATACAATAAAAAAAAAAGTGAACACATATAAAATTGACAACTCAGATTTTACAACAGAGAGGGGGTTGAGGTTAGTGTCTATGGCTGTGTCTACACTGGCATGAATTTCCGGAACTGCTTAAAACAGAATACTATTCCGTTTTCAGTTTTTCCGGAAAAGGAGCATCTACATTGGCAGGCTGCTTTTCCGGAAAAGCCCTTTTCCCGGAAAAGCGTCTGTGGCCAATGTAGACGCGCTTTTCCGGAAAAGAGCCCCGATCGCCATTTTCGCAATCGGGGCTTTTTTCCAGAAAAGACTACTGGGCTGTCTACACTGGCCCTTTTCCGAAACAGTGTTCCGGAATAAGGACTTATGCCCGAGCGAGAGCAGAATAGTTTTTCGTCGTTGCTTTTCCAGAAATTCAAGGGCCAGTGTAGACAGCTCGCACCTTATTCCAGAAAAGCGGCTGATTTTCCGGAATAAGTGGCCCAGTGTAGACACAGCCATTATGAGAAAATGATATTGGGGTGATAATTGGGGAAGCTATCTTTGTAATGGGTAAGGTAGTTAGCATCTTTGTTAAGGCCCATGACAGTTCTGAGGTTTACCTTTGTAATCTGGTGTTAAAGTCTCTTTGAAGTAAGATACATGTAGTTAGGTCTGGACTGGGCATTGTCTCAAGGACATCATGCCCGGGCATCTTCCCGCTCACCTGTAAATGCCATGCATGGCAGCAGCAGCCGGCCGTGCGCGCCAGCATGGGGGAGCCAGACTGAAAGCTGCACGCGGCAGGGACAATCCAGGGCCAGGGAAGATGTGCAGGGGGACCAACAGGTGGGGGCCGGGGCCTGCTCCAGACAGGGCCGGAGGAGAGACGCATCTCCAAATATCAGTGGAGCAGGGCCCCTGGCTCTGAATATTGTTGGAGCATGGGCACCACGAGCCCATTTAACTCGCCGCCCATGACTATGAAACATTTTAAAACAGTGAAGTCTGTGTCCACAGGCACTGGAGTGACCACCTGTAAGACTGAAGTCCGCTGTACATAAAGGAGGTGCAGCACGGGCAATTGCCATATTATATGTAAAATATAATTTAAATAATAAATCTTTATTTAACTGCACTTTACTTCTGAGAGGTCAGCAAGAATGTTTGCCATAGTCTTATGTTAATTCATTCTCATGCAGCCATGATCAAAAGAGCTTTCCTCCCTGCAGTTTCAGATTCCTGCTTTGTAGTCTAACCTGTCCACACATTACTGAACATTTGGTGCACCATTTTGGGATAGGATTATATTCTGTTTCATTTCCCCCATAGTTAACTGTTTTAACACCCCTAATTCAAATCTATTTATATATTGTAAATCTGTAGGAGAGAAAATGAGTAAAAGACCAGATGTTCCATCCAGTAGAGGGCAGTGGTTCACCAAATAAAAACCTGTATAAAATACTACATTAAAGAAACTTGAAAGAACATTGCTTAAGTAGCAAAGTTAACTTGTTAGGAAATACCAGAATTAAGATTAACTGTTCCAGAATGATTTACATTAATAAAACAAAGGCAAACTTTACTGTTTAGTGAGATGCACTCAGCTGAGCTAAATCCTCACTTATTGCCCACAGATTTTTTTTTCCAGTTATCAGTAGTACAACAACCTGCTGCAAGGTAGAGTCAGACCATGGACCTCATTAAACCCAACATTTGTGCATGTCTTATAGGCATCACACCTTTAGCATTTGACATTTTGCTGCAGTTTATTACTGGACACAGAGGCTTTTTGGAGGCAGGGGACTGAGGACCATGGGGTTTGTGGTAAAATGGTTAAAAGTAGTCAACACTGTATGTCCTAGGGTTGCCAGGTGTGCAATATTGTCTCAGACAGTCAGGTATTTGCGGCCTCTGGTTAAAAAAGGCTGATATTTTCTGTTTTTCATGGACGGAAGGCCGCTTGGGACATTCTTCCCGCCATGTCTGGCAGGGGTTGGGAGAGCGTGGGGACTTAAAGGTGCAGTGACTGTTTATTTTTGGCTCAACAACATTGGTCCCCTGGATTTTTTTTTTCTCAACCAATTTTTTCCCTCCATGTGTGGTATTTTTTGTGAAAGTATCTGGCAACCCTACTATGTCCTGATATTCAATCTAGATTGTCCTGTATTAGATCTGAATGTCCAGATTTGCTAGACATTCTGTTTGTATGCAAATTATTTTCTCTTTCATTTATTCCCGACATATGAAGAACTGAGCAATATTTGTAAAGGTCTTCAAAGGTTTAAAGCACTACACAAATGTTTAAGAATGACAAATGTGTTAATAAATTGCTATAAATAATTCACTTTAACTATATATAAAAATGAACAACATATATATATTCATATAAAAGTGTTGTTTATTGTAAGGAAACTTTAAATATAACAAACAATATTGAAAATATTGTTATTAGCATTTATGGCCTTGATTGGAATTCTTCATCATACAGGTAATCATTAGCATTTTTCTGAATAACATTAAACTAGTGCAAAAATTAAGTAACTTTTATAGATTAAGCATTCAGAATGATTTTGGTTACCTGATGTTTCCTTAGAGAAGGGGTGGGGAACCTTTTTTGAATGGGGGCCACAAACCCACAGAAACATCAGCCAGGGGCCACACACAAGTAAGAAGCAAAGTGAGAAGCCTCTGACTGAAAAGGAGAAAGACACTCTCCGTATTCACCTTGCACACCAGAGCCTGGGGGGGCAAGGCTGCAGATGGGTGGCAAGAGGACTGGCGTGCCATTGTGGACTCCCCAGTGCTGAGCCTTGGGGGCTGGATCCAGGAAAGCTGGGGGTTGCATCCAGCTCCCAGGCCTGAGGTTCCCCACCCCTCCCTTAGAGTTATAACAGTATAACCCCTCCCTTTTTTCAGTAAATCAAAACTACAAAGGAAATCATATGTGCAACTATTCATATCAGGAGGCTGTGTAAAAAAAATTGTTGACACGTAAATTTTGCTGAGACTGTTTTTATTAACAATGTTCATTTATAATTTATATCATATTATACAATATAAATTACATATTAGTAATAGTATTGTATAATCATAATTGAGCATATTCAATATGATTGTATAAATCTTCAGAATGGATCACTATAACTACAAGATATATAATTATGTAATGTGACAAACACAAATATGTTGCATTGGAAAAGTCATTTTGTAAGAAGAAAAGATGTAATGTTTCATTTGTTCAAATCAGGGAGCAAGCAACTTTGCCAAAATTCTTCTGGTTCTGTCTTGGCAAAACTACTGTAATTTATATGAACAACATGGAGCAATAAACATGTCAGTATAAATGTGAGAACTGGACTGTCTCATAGTTTCAGTCACACACTTTTTCTAGTTAGAAATGAACCATGCTTTCTTATTTTAAGTTAGATAATACTCCTTCCTTAGTCACAGAGAAAAATTTACCCCATCCTCCGACTGCTGCAATAACAGTCTTTTATGATGTCTTAGGGACGGGCCTTTGATGTCTAAAGACCAACGCAGAATTTGTCAGCTTTAATAATACCCTCCAAACATGCATAAAACGACCTTTCAATTGATCTCTCAGATTCACCTGAAACTTGCTGGTAAGGATTTCCAGGAACAAATAATGTTAATGTGTCTTTCAATACTTTAATAGCTTGAATCCTCTACTAAAAAGAAAGAGGTATGAAGAACATTTTACTTGAAAGATGGAAAGATTTAACACCGAAAAATAAGTGATTTCTAGGGACGGAATTTAATCCTAGATTAGACATCAAATATGAACGGACAAAATGCATACATTTTAAGGAATAAATTAGAAGAAAAATGATGTAGATTATGCACAATTAGATAGAATGTGACAATTGCCTACATAAAGTACTTTTGCCTGTTTTTAAAAAACATGCTTGCATTGAGATTCATTTGCAGCTCTCTCAATGGAGGAATGTACTGTTTATGTGTAACAAATAAAAATGCAGTTTATTGCAAAAATATAAAAATCCCCTAAATTGCATAAGATATTACAATATTTTACAAATGGGCTTGCTGAAATGTGACATATTAAGAGGACTTTATTACCAAATTACAAAAATGTTCAAATAAGACTTGGTTAATGAACTTTACACAAAATGTATCATTGTGCCTTACTGTTATGAGGAATTTGAGTTATTTATTTTTTTATACAGCTATAGTAATTGCAACATAAAATCATGACAATTTAAAAAGGCAGAAATGGATAACTACAGTATACCTTCTGCATTACCAATACTTACAAACACTTTGTGCATTAACACTTTCAACATATCGCATTCAAGCTAACAGTCTTTCCAGAAAATCTGAACCATTTTATAGAACAGAAGTTGGTTGAACAAATTCATCAGCATAATGTTTTCTTAAAATGTATTCTTTATGAAATGCTGTATACAAAGAACCTGATTTTCAAAAGCTGCTGTGCATCTACAGCTACCCCTGACTTCAACTGGAACTACTGGTGCCATGTTCTTCTGAAAATCAGGACGAAAGTCTGTTAAATCTCTACATGGTTTACTGATACATATGTTGTAATATGTAAAAAATTGAAAATAAACCCCAACAAACAAACAAAAAACCCCAGACCCTCAAATCACAGAAAATGCTTGGCATCTACAGGAAGATAGACACATTCTCAGTGGACTAACCACTACTGTGCTATTTTCTCATAACGGATCTTGTAGTTCCGCACTTTATTTCATTCACTGGCATCAGCAATGTCCATGTTTGTTCCAAACAAAGCAACTATCTGCTCCTCATAGTTTGCAATGTTTCTTTTCATAATTTCCATACAAGGTCCCAAAAGCCTTTCAAATGCCTGCACATCCATAACTAAGATAAAAAGGTGGGGTGGAGAGAAAAGAGAGAGAATGTAACACGGCCCATCAGTTGCAGAAATGAATTTCAGAATTTATGACATTTACTGTGCAGATTTTTAAATTGTAATGGAAAAGGTTTCACTGGGGCTATGTTTACACTGCTGGGTTTTTTGCAGAAGATGAAATGCAAATGGAACACTCATTTGCATATCTCCTTCTGTTCCTTTTTGAGGAACAGGTTTTTGCAATAAAAAGCCCTGTGTAGACGGGGCCGTTTGTCACAAAAAAACCCTTTGCACAAGAGCCTGTAAACCTCATTTTCTGAGGAATAAGGACTCTTGCGCAAAAGGTTTTTTTTATAACAAATGGCCCAGTCTGCGCAGGATTTTTATTGAAAAAACCTCTTCCGCAAAAAGGATCGGAAG